ATGTTCCATGAAGATATTTTGTAAATTTCCTACTGTAAATATATTAAAACGTAATTTTTGATTAGTAATATGCATTGCTAAGAACTTCATTTGGACAACTTTAAAGGCAATTTTCTTCAATTTTTTTGCATCCTCAGATTCCAGATTTTCAAATAGTTGTATCTCGGCCAAATATTGTCCTAACCTAACAAACCATACATCAATAGAAAGCTTATGTATTCAGCTTTCAGATGATGTATACATCTCAATTTCGAGAAACTGACCCTTATGACTGGTTTTGTGGTCCAGGGTCACAAATGTCTCAAGAAATGTATTTTCCAAAATCACCAAAACATTCTTCAGATTATCTTCTTTTATGTTCCACAGAAGAAAGGAAGTCATGCAGGTTTGGAATGACATTTAGGGTGAGTAAATCATGACTGAATTTTCATTTTTGGGTGAACCATCCCTTGAATTATTGCACAAAAGCAATATCATACCAGAAACATAGCTTAGACACTTTTGCATATGGTGTTTGGTTATGAATGTGAAATTCTGACGTGAATTAGATTCTATTTCATAACAATTGCTCTAGTTCAGCATGCTAAAAGATACTTACAACCATAAACATGCACATTACTACATTAGTGTATTGCATAAATCTTCAATTTGGTTTCATATATATTTTTGTCCATATGTGAAAACAAAATAAAGTTTGTATTAATGTTTGTTACAGTAGCACAAAGTCTTTACACCTTTGTAAGCACATGGTTTGTTGAGTGTTAAGGCCGGGCGTTTGTTAGGGCTTAAGTCTTGTCCTGTAATTACATCAGTGCTCTAATGAAATGAGCAGACTTACATGTGGCTTAAAGGGTCACTCAACTGCTTCCTGAGCACAAGACATTGATTTCAACTCTCATGTCGATTCATCGTACTTCAGTTATATACCAAAATTCTCTTCCTAGTCCCAGAAAAAAAAATAGTTCTGATGACTGTTGCATGCAATTATCGCATTTGCAATCTGTTGACATAATGTGTACGTGTCTTATTACAGCTGTAATCCACTAAGTATAGCGTTATATAATGTTATTATAAAGTATTATTTTTATGTCAATGCAAACATGATTGACTACAGAAAGTCGAAACGAGCAGTTCGTTTAACTAGTATCTGTGCTTGTTTAACACCTGATCACAGGAGATTATTTTGGTGGAGTTTAGAGCTAAAATCAGAACACTTTTGCAGGTAGGTTCTTCCCACTTGAGTTCTCTGTATTTTTGGCCAAGGCCTGACAGGAGCTAAGTGGATTAGACTCTTCTGTGATAGGATTTACCCAAACGAAGTGGATTTGGTCAGGTTAACTAAGGGAAGACCTCGGGCACGGATTTCCTGACACCGACTGCTGCTGAGAGGTTACCTTCAATTCCAATACTCTTGCAAAAATCTAAAGGAATGGAAACCGTCTGACAATGAAAGGAACCTGGAGGGATTCTTGATGCAACGAGAGCTGCTGTTTTCTTTCCTCTGAGGAACAGTTCAAAGATCTCAGTGCCTTTATGACAGCCAGTCCAGGCCAATAGTAGCATAATTTTGGCAAAGCACAATTTGGATATTTTCAATGCACAAAAATCGAACTAATTTCCCTCTAATCCGGAGAACCTTGGGGAGACATTGCAACTCGATCTATGAATTTATACAATGTGAAGTACAAAAACATACTATTTTTCGCAAAAAACAAAACAAAACATGAGGGTCCGCCCCTAAATGTAACCATCACTTGGGCTTAAGCAGATTGTATGAAAACATACGAATGAGTACAAATTCATAAATATGAGCCACCAGTTTGCCAAAATTAGTACTAGTTAAGATTTGCAATGAGATTGTTTTGGACATTGTAGTATTGTTTCATAAATATATACAATTTTATCATTTGAAACCCGTTTCATATAGTATTTTGATCATTTCAATTGATCAGATTCATAAGGCTGGATTATGCTACACAACTTTTGCCCAGATTTTGCCGAAAACTCGGCAATCGGATCTGACAGATTTCACGGGATAACTGCGTAGTGTACGATGGGCACAGACTCCAATATTTTTAGCTTCAGACTATGATTCCATCCAGTCGGAGGATATCAAACACGTTGGATATTTTGATCTTATTTTAGAACACATATTTTATCGTTTGTCACAAGGCGCATATTTCTGCATGAATTTGTTGTGTTCGGAACGACTTGTGAGTTTGCCATTTACAAATCGGCATTTGTATGATACTTAGCATTTTAAAATCTGTTAAAAATTATCATGTTTATGATATGGCATGTGTAATCCAGCCTTTAGCACATTATTAGGTTCTTTTTTATTCTTTATACATCATTTTTGTTTAATTATTATAATGTTTAATACATTAACATATTTTAATGAAATGAACATTTAATGAATTTAATGTTTTCGTTTACAGAGCAATTTTGACTATTTCAAAGCTGAGGTAGATGTTCAGTATAACTTATATGTTCGTTTGAACTGGATTTGTGGGAATGTTTTGACTTTGTCAGAGTTGAACCCTTTCGGAGCTGCTGGGATCATTTACAGGTCGGTTACACAATGAGGAAGTTTTGTTCAGCAGTGGGTGTGCCTTTGTGTACTTGCTTTGTTTACTGAAGCCCTGAATGAATTTTCTAGAGGTTTTCTCCATTGAGCTCAACATTACAAGCTATTTGAAGTAGACCCACGAAGGCAATAGAAATAAGATATACAGCAGCATCTCATTAGCAACGAATAAACATGAGAATAATTATTATTTGCTAAATATATTTGCGGTTTCTCTTCATCAGGACTGGCAGAAATGTCTGAGGACAATCTGTCAGCCGAGTATTTTTCGTGAAGGCAATGCAAAACATTCGCTCTTGCCTCAGTGCTTTAAACCCAGAAGATCTTCTTCTCAGAATCAAGGGTCTGTAGCTTTCAGAGATTAAAACATGCTATGTTTCCTAAGTTTTGATGAGTTTTGACCCTCGACGTCAGACGCATCCGCATGCTTTGGCTGAAAACTCTTGGATTGTGTGGTATTTATTGAAGTTATCGAGGAAGGAGATGTCCTCCTCGTATGCGGTGGGCCGACAGCAGGGGCTGTGGCGAGCCTTGTCCTTCTCGTACTTTGTTAGCAGCCGCGAGCGCTTCATGAAAGCCAGCGTCAGGTCGTAGTTTTTGCGACTTGTAGTGCACTTTCCGCTGCAGTAATGGAAGACTATAGTCTCGTCACTGACGTAGCCCAACCCCAGCTGACTGACTGTCACCTCCACCTCCCGCAGCGAGCAGGGTTTGGCTCGCTTTTTAGCCCGTTTAGTCCTTTTGCTCTGCTGGGCATCTCTGCGGGCTTTCCTATCCACCAGTGTCCCGATGACCTGCTTCAACTCGCCCTCTGTGAAGCTCTGGAAGATCTTCATGACTGCGATGGAGAAAAAAGGAGGGTTAATTATTTTTTAGCATTTATCATGCCAAAAACATTTGCATTATTTCAATAAGAGTCAATTAGAACACGTCCACTTTTTGCTGCTGCATTTTTCCCATTAATTTTCCCCATAGGGATTTTAAAAAAGTCTTTGTTAAAGCGTTAAATAGTTATTGCTTTGAAACGAGTTTGCACTTGAAGTCACACAGAACAGAATGCAATGTTATATATTTAAATTAAGTAAATGAGCCAAATGTGTTTAAAACAATCTTAAAATTAATTTTTAATACAATGCACTCTAAAAATGCTGGGTTAAATACAACCCAGTGCTGGGTTAAATAGGGACAAACCCAGCAATTGGGCTGTTTTGACCCAGCGGTTGGGTTAAATGTTTAACCCAACCTTCTGGGTAGTAACCCAACCACTGGGTCAAAACAGCCCAATTGCTGGGTCTGTCCCTATTTTACCCAGCACTGGGTTGTATTTAACCCAGCATTTTTTAGAGTGTAGAATCAACCAATTAATTCTATGAATTAAATATTCAAAGATTAAATGGGTATTCATGATCATGCCCGTAAAGTTGTTCATGTTTTAGATGCTGTCAGGTAGAACCACATTTTATGTGAAACACATACGAATACTCATGTGATAATGTTAAGAATCCTGTTTGTAAACAATGTCTTTTTTTTCCAGTTTTGTTTGGTTACCACAGTGGCGTGAAAGTACAAACTTAAAAATTGAAACTGCAGGGAATATTGGTTATCAGATTTAGAGTTAAATTCACATGGAATTCTGTTTGTGTGAAGTTGGACTTAAGCCTGGGAAGCCTGCATGATAAATGCAATCTGATGTAAACAGTGATAGGCTACGCTATAATGAACTGCAGACACAACACAAGAGAACATAAGGGCTCATCATGATCTTACGTTCTGATACGAGAGAGTTTCCTCCGTCAGCTGATCTGATCTTCCGTTGCCGCCGATCTACCGCAACAGTAGACGACGAATTGCTGGGTGTAAATGAAGATGATGGAGGTGAAAGTGATGAGGATGAAGCTCTGCGGTGGGGAGGAGGGGGCGGGGCTCGGGAAGAGGGAGTGGTTTTAAGGACGAGCAGGGGAAGCGCAGCACCACAGAGAATCAGGCCGATGGCAGCAAACTTCCATAACTTCATCTTAGAATGAGGAGAAGCATTGGGCCCCTGCAAAACAACCCAACATCCATCAGACAAAACCAAAAACAAACACTGTTTGACTGTTTGTTATTCTATTGAGATTTTGGCATTACATATTTAGACAAGTAAAGCCAGAAACATTAGCTGTGATTTTCATTTCGTCAGAATATTCACTACAACTGAATGGCTGTCAGTGGAGAAAGATGCTTTTGAATCTATATGTCAACTAGCAGTCATTAGAGTATCAGTAGAGGGTCTGCTTAATATCTGCTAGCACTTTATTTTGATACTCCAACAACAGACACTTCACAAGTTTACAAACATGTCAACTTATTCTACTAACACTAAACTAAAAGTCTACTAATATTAAAATAAGAGTTAGTTGACATGTAGCTGCAAAGTTACTTATTGTTAGTAGAATGTCTAAAGTAGACTATCAAAATAAAGCATAACATGCTTTTTTTCTCCCCATAATGGTCTAATAATGATTTACTAACTGGAGCTAACTGCTAAAGCTAACCAGCTCAATCTTAACCACCTGGCCAGTGATAAGGTAGTTTGGCTAAAATAACTAATTGTTCCTTTAAGCTGCTCTACCAAAAAAGCAGTTGATTGAAAATTGACCATGATAAAAGCGGGCCTATAATTCAGTCCATATAAGCTGCGAATGCTCAAGCCATTCGAGAGAATGAGCTTGCAGACTGGCTAATTAATATTAATGTTACTATATATTCCCTTTTCATTTGAGATACAAAGCTGACACAATAAAATGTTGGGAATGTGTATCTCACTGTCCATAAATTATTTATTTGCCAAATTACATTTTCTGTAAATCTCTGCCAGTTAAGGAAGGATGTGGGTGAGTGGATCCATAGCAGCTTTGGCCCCGTTGCTCTATTGCTATGATGTTGTTGTTGTTTCAAAAAGCACATTTTGAAAGTCCACTAAAAACATAATTTGATATATTTTTGGCATAGATACAGTATTTTGAAAGTACACATTATTTGGCAACATGTTTGAGCAAACTAATCCAGTACTAACCCTGCATATTTTGTATGTCTCCCTCATTTAACACACCTGATGCAACTCATCAACTCATTAGTAGAGTCTGCAAGACTTGAACTGGGTGTGGCCTATGAGGGAGACCTTCAATATGTGCAGTGGTTGGGGGTCCCAGGACAGGTTTGACAAGCACTGAACTAATCAATGTGAAAATCGACACATGCCATGGTGTTTCTATTTGTGGTCTCTAATAAATTAATGTTACATTAGCATACCCGGTTGAAGAGGTCACTGCTCGCCACTTGGAAAAAGACATAATGTGGCAATGCTAAAAATTAGGGATGTCCCGATCAGGTTTTTTTGTGCCAATGAATATTGAGTAACTGCCGATACCGAGCCCCGATCCAATACTTGTATTTTCCTAGTCCTTTACAAGTACATTAAAGTTATTCAAATTAATCCAGTGTATAGAGTTGTGCAGAGAGTAAAAGTAATATATAAGGTTAGAAAGCATGAAGCTCATGGTGTCAGATTGCCAGTCTGTCAGTCAAGTCCAAAGCAAGATGCAACCTATAGCAACACGTTATTATAACGACGTCTCAGAGAGTCTGACAGCAGATAAAAGTAAACAGTATATAAATGACTATCTAGTGATTCGTTCAAAGGTGCGCATCAAAATACGTTAAACACGGAAGCTCGAATGTGTGTGTGAGGTGCTAGATTAGACCTACTGGTTCTCATGCGTCACACACACATTTGAGCGCCTTCTTTTGCTTTTAAGGCCGGTTGGCAAACCTACTGGAAGATGCACACCGGCTCCTACTGCAAGACAACGGCATGACAGCTGACGTAAAATAAGGGTCGGGCTCAGGATAGCCGATCCCGATCAGTTAAAAAAATGCTTTATCGGCCCCCGATACCAATCCTTGAGATCAGCTCGGGACATCCCTACTAAAAAAATACAACATATATTTCAGTGACACTAGAACTAAAGCTTCTGTACCTCGAAGCTTCTCATTTCTCACACTTGGGTAGATTGTGTTTTTATAAATTACATTGTTGAAAAGAGCAGATTAATATTCTCTTTTTTTTCCATCTTTTTTAGCAACATTCATCCAAACATTACTGTGAGTTTTTGCCAAAAGTGGCAGACAGGAGGAGAAACCTGTTTGAAAACAATCATTACTTTTGTCAGTTTTGTTTGGTGACCGCAGTGGAGCGCAGAAATGACAAAGTTTAAAACTGAAACTTGGGGAATATTTTGATATCAGATGGAGTTTAGCGTTAAATTTGCATGGAATTTTGCTCACTGTGTTTCTTTTACCACCACATGTGAGTTTGTTCAATATTGTGCTGATCAGATTGACCTGAGACCATGGAAGACCTTGGGCCAGATTTACTATCAGTTTGCACCAGTGCAAACCCTCTTTTGGCAATTTACTAAAGACACGCAATGAAACATTCAACAATGAAAAAGTGTGGAGAGTTATTTTTGCAGCTGACCTTATTGCATATGCATTTGTAGGAGTTTGCCTTTCAGATGCAAAATTTATGGGTGGAAAGTATCTAAATAAATAATGCAACATGATTTACTAAGGCTTGTGACGCATTTTAGGAAAGCAATGATGCTTAATTCTCGTACTTGGGTGGATTGTGTTTCTCAAATTCCACATTAACATTCACCGTTTTGTCTTTTTTTTATTGCTTTGACATTTTTTTTTAGCTGCACTGATGGTTGACGCTGATGTTTGACACAATTGTTATTCTCAAAAACGGTTCAAGGGCAGCAGTCCAACAATTACAGACCTGCTGCACTAACAAACTCCAAACCAAATGAAAACAGCTTAGATTGTGTATTCAAAATCTTTCAGCTATGTATGAGCAGCCTCGTGCAAACCGAGTTGTTATTCCAAAGATTTCATTCACAGATGTTTGCACAAGTGTTTTCGCCATCCGCAGCTTTTCTGCTCTTCTGTTGATCTCATTCCGGTCGCAGGTCTCAGAGCGCACAGGTGTGGATCGTCCAGCCGTGTCCTGTGGCCCAAATCGGCTGTATCCAGAAGATACAAAAACTGCCACATGCTCCCAAAGCGCTCTTGTTTAATGTTTTATATTTCAATCAATCAGATGGGGATAAAATGGGAAGTTCCAAGAAAAACTGTTGTGTTTACACTCGGGCCCTAGTGTCACGCTGATCACAAGCTTCTCCTTTGGCAACTTCACAACACACACGAGAAGTATATTAGTTGGTTTACAGTGGCAGTACCATGATACAGTACTTAGTGTCAGATGGTATACCATGGTATTAAATGATTACCTTGTTATTATTTAAATGACACTCCAAAGTAATTATAAAAGATTAAAAGATAACACTTTATGGTAGGTTTCTGTAAATTATTATTACATTAGTAATCATGAACACCCTTGTGAAAATGATTAAGCATACTTTTAAAAAGAGCACTCATTATGGAAATAATATACTTTAAAATAATACTTAAGTGTGAACTGAATGTAATATTTTCAGACACTTTATTCTATTGAAACTCTGTCATTTATTTTCATATATATTTGTAGTAATACATTTGTAATGATGAACTTGCAATTTAGTACATTTAAAATGTATTAACTGTAAATGTAATATTGAATAACACATTACAGTTCAAATTATAATCAAGTACTTTACGTGTTCTAGTAAACAAATCAAAATAAGTATACTTATTTTAAGCATGACAAAATATTATTAAAACAATTATTTAAAATATACTTTAATTTATTTAAATTATTTAATTAATTTTAATTATAATTTATAATGATTTAAATTTAAAACATTTTTTAAAGTGTACTTAAGTGAAACAGCCATGAAAATTTACTCTAAGTGCAACTTAAGTGCCCTTTTAATTCAGATTATTTTATCTGAAAGAGAAGTTTAAAAGAATATATATATATATATATATATATATATATACTTTTTAGGATTTGAAGTACAAGTGCACATTCAATACAATAAAGCACGCTTCTTTTCACAAGACCCAACCATGAAAATAACCTAGTATTATTATATACATTAATTTATTATTATATACATTAATTTCTATAATACTAATGTATATATGTGGGGAAAAAAGCAACATCATGCATTTGCCATGGTTAATAAAAAAAAGTTAATAAAAAATATAGTCAAATAATAGTTAAAAAACAAAACCAAGACAGTGTGGCATTTCCATTAACTTTTAACTCCATTAACTATTAGCCTGAATCCATTGACACATATAGAAATTAAGTGTAAGTACACTGTATAATTTGTTTTTACGTGGGTTCTTCTTATTAAACTGAGATGTTGTCAAACCATAAATACACAGTTTATATTTGCTTGTCACATAACCAGACACAGAACATTAACTCCATATGCTTGTGTGTGTGCCAGTGGATGTGCCTTTGCTTGTCTTGCATTTAAAACATTATATTCTTATAGGAATGATAGTTATTGATTCCATTCCCATATGATTCTGTAAGAAAAGCGGCTGGGGGAACTAAACAATTCAGCAGCTGAGATCAGGAAATGCCTAGGCCAGTTTTCCAGAGAGTAAGAACTACACCAGACCACACGGACTCAAACGCTTCAGCAGACGTTATTAGAGTGCACTGGGCAAAACTACACTCTGCTTCAGGTCCAGAAGAACATGGAAAGAGGAAGATGCATGGACTGGTACATGACAGGGTTTTGTGTAGATGTGTCATGATTTTCCTGCCAACGCTTCACTGTTTTATGCGTCAAAATATCATATGGCAGTAACAGAAAACATGCTAAAACATAATTAAACAATGTTTGAATTACAATCAACCGTTGTAGGTAAATGTACATGTTTCGGGGGGTTGGGGATAAAATGACTAAGAGGCGGCATATTTCACTCAAAAATGAAAATTCTGTCATTTATTCGCCCTCAAGTTGTTCCAAAGCTGTATAAAGTTCAGTCTGCTGCTGAACACAAAAGAAGATATTTTATGACATTTTGAGGAATGTTGGT